GTACACTCAAAATAATTTTCTTGTTTTATTTCTATTAATTTGGGAACACGAAGATAAAACAGGTTTTATATTTAGCTGGACTTTAAAGAAATTAATATAATATTATTATTAATATATATATTAATATATATATTTTTTTTGTTGGTATTAAGTTACTCTCAACCTCGAGCAGCTGAGAGAATTATTTGGCCTCCTCGTCTAAAATCGGGTTAACGCCATCTGCAATATTAATATTTGTAAAATATTACAAATTTTGTATATACCCAATTAAATCTCTTGTGTTTACTTTCAGTGTACTGACGCATTTCTCACACTTGTTTAAGTGACGTCACTAGCTTAGACGAGCCCCCAGCAACGTCATCGTCCTCTCATTTGGAAGAGAATCACCACCGCTGGAAGAGTCTCAAAACTCTCCCCCAGAGGAAAAGAAGAGAGAGCTCCCGGTTATGCTCACTCACCCACCGAACAAGTAATCGTCGCTGCTTTCTGCGCTGCCAGCGATTTTGTGGCAGCGTTGAGCTGATTATGAGCTTTTTGCTTTTGGCCTTTTAGTTCCCAGCCAGTGGTAAAACAGAACGCATGTGCAGACAACGGAGCGCATACGCAACGTGAACGAAGAGCCCGCCAGACAAGACTAAGCCATCAAGTACGAGCATTAAGGTTTACCCCCGATAATCCGAGAATCAGAAAATCAGCCGTCGTCATTAGGGCAACCGAATCAGCCAAATCAGTGATTGTGATAATGCTTAAAGGTGTTCCCACGCTAGCCGGTCGCAACCTTCGTCTTCTGACGACCCAGGGACAGGTGTTGGTCCACCATCGTGCCAAGGCATCCGCCGCCGAGCCCGCGGAGCTGTTGGACCAGGAGACGGATCTCTTGAAGCGCGCCAAGTTCGGACACACGGGCAAACAGCTGCAGCAGAAGATATGCAATGAGGTGAGTTCCGCGAAGGCCTCAAAAAGGGGGTTGAGCGATGGAACAGCTGACTATATACATTTTCGGGCCTTAATTTCGCCCGGCTATTGATTTTTCATGTGAAATATCCGAAAAGTGAACGCTTAATCCCCACAGATGCGCAAATTCTGACGGAAAAAACAAACCATTTGCCGATTTACCGAAATCTAAAAATAGATTTCGAAAATTAAACAATACCGAGATATCCGATCTGATTTTAGGCACGTAAGGGCATATGACTTTCATTCAGCCTGACAACGCTGTATTTTTTAATGAAGACGCCGGGGCATTAGTTTAATTAGATAAATGCCGAGCGCAGCGTGACTGACGCAATATCCAGATAACACACCCACTGTCCTGTCTCTCCCTAAAAAAAGATAATGTGGTATATCTTATCGCATCTGGGGTTGCGGCGACTAGACTACCGGGCAAATTAATTGTGAAATTATCATGACAAATTTTCGGCAAATAGGTGCTAATCAGGTGCAAATCAACTGACACACTCATCCTTAATCCCCAAAAACCACATGTGACATGTGGAACTCCCGAATAAATGGTACTGGTTGTCAACAAGTATATTATAATGCCAAAAAATATCAGACGGCGGCGAGACGCTGACCGAGACATTGAAACACTGATTGCGAGATTGGGAATGGGCACTGAAATTGTTATACAAAATCAACTTTATATTATTAATCTTTTCGCTCGTGAAACACCAGCAAGAATGTTGGACTATAAAACAAATGTACACATGCACGCAGAAAAAAATTTCATTTTACCATCTGAATTTTTAAAATATATGAGCTCTTTCCTTCAAAACATTCTTAATCTTATCCGTTTAACTTAAATCTACTCCGTTCTAATAAAAATCTTATCAACAAAAAAGATAATTTATGTAATTTTGATAACTAAATATATCTGTGTTATTTTTAAACTTTATTGTGTTATGTTCTAAAGAATGTCCTAATAAAAATTACGTATTTTTTATCATCTCATCTCATTTGATAAACAAAACTCTAATTATTAAGTGTTTTGGTGAATTTTAAGGAATAGATTAGAATAGTTCTAAAAAAATTAAATTTTTCCAAAAAAAAAAAAAATTTTTTTTTTTTCTCATTAGGGAAAAAAACCCACCAAAAAAAAAAAAAAAAAAAAAAAAAAAAAAAAAAAAAAAAAAAATTTTTTTTTAAAAAATAATTTTAATTTTTTTAATTTTTTTATTTGAAAAATTAATGTGAAAAACTCTGACATTTTTTAATGTGTATATGATTCACAGACTCTTAGGGTGTTAAAGTCACGCGAAACTGTCACCCGAAAATAAATAGTGTAAACGTGAGCATGGCAACACAAAAAATACATAAATATATTAATGTACAAATAAACTCGGAGCAGAGGTGGAATTTCAAATGGAAAAAAATTATGGATTGAAATTAAGCTAGCTAAGATTTGGCAGAAGTCCATCACTAGTCGAAATTGTTTTGCGGTTCTTTCGTTGCCATGGAAGAAATGAAAGAGCACACACTCATAAATGTTTTGCATACGCGCGTATTAATATTTTAGGTGCCACAACACAAAAACCAAGCCCCTTCACTTCCCACATGGTTACTAGGGAAGAGTAGGAAAGAGCAATAAAGAGTGTTAAGTAGTTCTCTGAATTCTTAAACCAATAATTTGGATACTCTCTTGCTATTCTCATAAACTGTGCAAATTTTTTTAAATGCTGAAAGAAAGCTGCTTAATTTCAAGAGAGAGGTATTTCAATTATTAGCTAAGAAATTTGTCGAAAAATATATCAGAGGAAAAAACATATTCATAAAATATATTTTATAACTGCTCAGTACGTAACGCATTTCCGGAAGCCCTGTGCATTTTAATTGTAGTTAGAACCCTTCAATTTATTCTAAAACGTTATAGCCTTTATGAAGATAATAATATTTGGGGACTACCATATACAAAAATTAATTACATACAGAAAAACTTATTGATTTACGATAATATTCGAATCTGGAAAGTCGTTAATTAGTTCAAGAATTACAAACCTAGTATTTAACCATAACGAATAGTCTATAACTGCGTAGAAAATTAAAGCACCAATTATTTAAAAATAAATAATGGTTTATTACAATTTTATTTCGTAATACGTTGACATAATCGAGTTGAAAGTTTAGTTTTTTGCGGGTGAGTTTGAACGAAATTTAGTTCTCTCATTTCTCCTGAGTAATTTTCTCTTTGATAAACTTAATCTCTGCACTTCCGTGCGAATTGTGCGTCAAAGGTTCGTCAGCTTTTCGGATCGGATCCCAATTTGAAAGGTGCCAAAGTCCCACGCTAATGGTGACAGGCCCCCTTGAACGGAAACTTGTTCGGCAAATATTTTATTCTTTTTATTTTTATGCCGCACCTGATGTTGTTGTTGTTATTAAACGAGATATTCGCGCTCACATGACTTTCTTTCGCTTAAATATGTATTTAATAATATGCAAATAAGCAGCAAGTGCGAAAAGAGCTTAACAATGAAAACAGATTTTGGAGGCAAAGATTTACCCATTTCTCAGAATGTGAAACAGATTTATAGTAGGGATATGGGCACGTGCAAATAATTGTAGCTGTTTATTTCCATTAAAGTCCCAAAGTCAATAGTGACTTGGTACGAGGAAAAACCTAGTCAAGTAAATGCATTTTCATCAAATACAAATGAAAGGAAATGAAGAAAAGTACGGAGACATCTGTTCCGCTGATGTCATGCGGTGTGGTAATTCAATCCAATAGTACTTAGGACCTAAGGCCGTTCCGGAAGTATTCGGTTACACTAATGAATTATTACAGCTTTATTCACTAACGAAATAAGTTAGTAGGCTGAGAAAAGTTTGTAAAGATGATGAAAATATTTTCCAAATTCATAATATGCAAGAGGATTGCCTTGCAAATATTAGGGAAATATTAAAAAGAAAGAAACCAAACGCAGTATGATAGTTATCACCATCCTTGTAAGCTTTCAAAGTGTTGCCGAGTTTTGGGGATTCCACTTAAGTTTGGATAGACCCAACCCCTTCTTGCTATAAAAGGTGCTCGTCAGTGGCATTTGGCCATTATTTCCACTTCGATCCAGTTGCGGTATACATTGGATATACCTCCGAAATATGCTAGTACGTGCCGTACAGTTGGCACTTGACATAACTTTCGAGACGTGACTTTAACTGGGAATTCCTGACCTGAACTACAGCTGTAATACTCAACCTATTGTCTTCTATACAATTTCAGAAGAAACTGCGCGCTCCACCGCTTATGAACTTGGTATTCGCCAATCGAAAGTTATCCTTCTACGACACCAGTTCCACGCCGAAGACCAAAGAGGATAATGCCAAGCTGTGAGTATATAATCTAGAATTGAACCTTAACCTTTTTCATCTTCACCATCACCTTACACCTGGAAACAAGCGAAACCAGAGCACAAATGCATCCAATCACTAATTGTTAGGATTACAAAATATTTATCCACTCATTTGCACCTGCCTCGTCTGTGGTTGCCTTTTCCCCCACTACTTCCCACGTGTCTAGAATCAGTTGGGTCAACAGTTTTCCTGCTACCAGGCTGCACTTCATAGCCCAATGATCCATTTTTAGACCCGCTGCAGTTTACAGTGCTATTCTTAGTTCGGAAAATATTGTTTTCGAAAACAACAGCCCCGAACCGTTGACACACACAATTAGCAATCTCTGCCAAAGTCCAAAGAAATGGCGAAAATATTTTGATGGCACTTTTTGGGGTAAATATTTTGTGGGCTCCCCCTTTGTTTCAAGTATCCGGAGAGGATGGGGCTGGGTGGTGCTCCCAAAGGGAGGAATCTGCCCCGAAATCAAGCGCTAATTGCCGGCAATCGTTAGCGCATAAAAATAAATTAACATACGTTTATTAAACGAAGATAAAAATCGAATTCGCTCACTCTTTTTGGGTCCGCTAAATTATAGGTACATATGTGTATATTGGCTTTGATGTATGTATAATGTTGGCGAACTATAAAACCATTGGCCGTTCGCCGACCGTGCTCATTTCGGCGGTGACGGGCCGCAAGTTTGCACAGTGAAAGAGAAGGATATTGAATACTATATTATCGCAAAATGATGAACGATCGTAGTTGGAATCTGCTGCAGTATGCCACCGAGAGGGCGCCCCTCCCCATGGATGGGTACACCGCCGAGGAGGCGGATCAGTTCAAGGACAGCATCAGGCAGAAGATAGTAGATGATCTGAAGTCGATGACGGGGGAGGAGCTGATTGAGCTGGTCAAGCAGAATGCCGCCAAGGTGGAGGAGGAGAAGCTGGGGGAGGAGAATCCTGTCAAGGAACCCCTTTCCGGCACTGAGGAGGGCAAGGAGCGGGTTCAGGATGATGCGGATCTGATAGATGCCGGCATTATAGCCGAAATGGTCGCCGGACTCTGCACCAAAAGTCAGAAGGAGACGTTCATCAAGGTGATAACGAAGTATATCAGGTAATTGTGAATCAGCCGGAGACGTGCCCACCGCCTTATCAGAAAAAAAGGAAAAAAAGAATGAAAGAAAGGTGTTCCACCGCGTGACGTTTCTCTCCTTATCGGTTTTCGGAGTAGTGCCCAAGTGAATATCTACCAGACAATGGCCAGTGCCATTATAATGCCATAAATCCGGCCATATCTACTCTGTATGTCGGTTGTGTGTGCTGCGTGTGGGTTTTTGTGTACCAGCCAGCCGGGGGGGTTTGTATAGAGAAAAAGGAGTTAATTAATTTATTTTATTGGCAATAACATGATTTAGAAATTAGCACATTCCGGCTCGGCTCTCCGTGGTGCCCTGCTCACTGCTCGCTGCTCTCCGATCCCCAATCGCCTATCTAAGTGCTCCGTTCGCTGGGAGCAGCAGCAAAAGTCACACTTTCCGCTAATGTATAAAATGCCGGCGCGCTTACTGTTGTTCCCATTAAACTTGCAACAGCTCAGCGCTCAAGTCAAGGCGATCCGAGTTCGAAATCCAGCGAAAAAAATTAGAAACAGATACCGAAAGCCAGCGAATATCACGTATACGCCGTGATGGTGCAAACAAGCGAAATGGAAGCCCTGAAGCGGCAGAGTGAGGACGGCGAGGAGACCAAGGAGCGGGAGGAGAACTACAGGAGGGGCAAGGAGCAGGAAACCACGGAGACGGCGGCCATCATCGAGGAAATAATCGAGGGCATCTCGCTGCAGAATCGTCGCGGCACCATAGTGCGTACTATTTCCGCGATAATCAGGTAAAAATAGTGCCGGAAAGAGCAAACCGAAAGCAGACAGTCAGGGGCAGGGACAAATTGTATACACATAGTATATCGAGTGGATCGTAAAAATAGATTGTGCACATTACACGCCCCTTTATCTATATGACACACCTCAAAAACCCCCTTAATATAATAAATACGAAAATTGCGTTGATTGACGCTCATTACACACGCTCTTTATGGCCAGCATATGGAAATCTTACTAACAATTGCCGTCTGATCATCCTGTTTATCATTATCTTTTAGCAGTCAGCGACGCCACTATTCGATGCGGCCGTGAGTAATCAATCGATTGAACTGTTCTTGTGTCCCCCTTCCCAGTAGAATTTGAATCAGTTGCCATGCCACAAAACCATATATGAACCATAAACCGAACGATCTCTTAATCAAGCCCGCGTCAACTAAATTGGAGTTAATTGAAGTCTGCGCGAAATGATTTCCCGAATTGACAGTTCCGCATAAAAAATCCGAAATTAATCGAATCAAATAGAAATGGAGGAAGATCTATTTTTAGAAGAGCCCAACTGGATCTGTGCAGTTTCTGCTTGGCCGCGCTGCATTAGCTGTCTGTGAGCCAATTAGCACTCGGAGTCCAGCGCCAGTTGGCCAAAGACAAACCCCTCTAAAATCCCTGCTTTCACCCCTCTAAATAAACCCCCCGTAGTTCTAGTATTTTCTGTGAATTTTGTCTTGCTTTTCCACACACGCATGCTAAAATTCAATGGGGTATTGCCGCCCAATTAGCAGGTGCCCTAAACCCAATTGCTTTTCTGTGGCTTCGAAACTATTTCGCTAATTTCCCCCGTACTAACTGGTTGTATTTCTATTCACAGCCACCGGGAGCAGGAGCAGCGAAATGCGGAGGATGTGCTATTCGACATGTTCGCCAGCGAGGAGACGGGCCTCATCTCGATGGGCAAGTTCCTGGCCGGACTCAAGACCACTGGCATTCGCAGGAACGATCCGAGGGTGCGAGAGCTGATGGATAACCTGAAGAAGGTGCACAAATTGAACAACTACGAGACCGGCTCTTCGGCAGAGACTCAGCATCTCAATCGGGAGACCTTCAAGGCGTAAGTTTTGTCTAAAGTTTCTCTGATCTTATCCTAATAATCCCTTTCCCTTTTCAGTGTGGTGGCTCCGAATATTGTGTTGATCGCCAAGGCCTTCCGGCAGCAGTTTGTGATCCCCGACTTTACCAGTTTCGTCAAGGACATCGAGGACATCTACAACCGCTGCAAGACCAACACCCTGGGCAAGTTGGCCGACTACATTCCGCAGCTGGCTCGCTACAACCCCGATTCCTGGGGCCTGAGCATCTGCACCATTGACGGGCAGCGCTTCTCCATCGGCGACGTGGACGTGCCCTTCACCCTCCAGAGTTGCAGCAAGCCACTCACCTACGCCATCGCCCTGGAGAAGCTGGGGCCCAAGGTGGTGCACTCGTATGTGGGCCAGGAGCCCAGTGGCAGGAACTTCAACGAACTCGTCCTGGATCAGAACAGTAAGTTTGGACTTTGAATAAATCATAGAACAATAGGTAGTAATAGTAAAACTAATGAGAAATTATCCAAGAGTAAGTTTGGTTATATGCCAATCTAAAGGTTTATAGAAATGTTCTTAACATTTGTCTTAATAACTTGGAATTTCAACAAAATTAATTTTATATTATTTTAATAATTTTAATTTATTTATTTTCAACAGTAAATAAATTCAATAGTAAATAAATAATATAAATAATTTAATAATAAATCTTGGTATTATTAGTCCATTTTACAATTTTTTTTGTAATTGTTTTTTTTTTGACATTTATTTGTATCTTTATTTTCTTAAAAACTGCATCATGTAAAATATTTTTTTAATTTAAAATTTCAGAATTTCTTTAAAATTATTTGCTATACATTTTCAAGCTTTCTTTTCATAACATAAATTTAAGTAGTATTTAAGTGTTATTTTATTGATGTTATTCTAATTACTTGACCCTCTCTCCACAGAGAAACCGCACAACCCGATGATCAATGCGGGCGCCATACTCACCTGCTCCCTGATGAACGCCCTGGTCAAACCCGACATGACCTCCGCCGAGATCTTTGACTACACCATGTCCTGGTTCAAGCGGCTGTCCGGCGGAGAGTACATTGGCTTCAACAACGCCGTATTCCTGTCCGAACGCGAGGCCGCCGACAGGAACTACGCCCTGGGCTTCTACATGCGGGAGAACAAGTGCTTCCCCAAGCGCACCAACCTGAAGGAGGTGATGGACTTCTACTTCCAGTGCTGCTCCATGGAGACCAACTGTGAGGCAATGTCGGTGATTGCAGCCAGTTTGGCCAACGGTGGCATCTGTCCCACCACCGAGGAGAAGGTGTTCCGGCCGGAAGTAATCCGGGATGTGCTCTCGATCATGCACTCCTGCGGCACGTACGACTACTCCGGTCAGTTCGCCTTCAAGGTGGGTCTGCCGGCCAAGTCCGGCGTGAGCGGCGGCATGATGCTGGTCATTCCCAACGTGATGGGCATCTTTGCCTGGTCCCCGCCCCTGGATCACCTGGGCAACACGGTGAGGGGGCCTGCAGTTCTGCGAGGAGCTGGTCTCCATGTTCAATTTCCATCGCTACGACAACCTGAAGCACCTGTCCAACAAGAAGGATCCGCGAAAGCACCGCTACGAGACCAAGGGTCTGTCCATTGTGAATCTGCTCTTTTCAGCCGCCAGCGGAGATGTAACGGCCCTGCGTCGCCACCGTCTCTCCGGGATGGACATCACCCTGGCGGACTACGATGGTCGTACCGCCCTGCATCTGGCCGCCTCCGAGGGTCATTTGGAGTGCGTCAAGTTCCTCTTGGAGCAGTGCCATGTGCCGCACAACCCCAAGGATCGCTGGGGCAACCTGCCCGTGGACGAGGCCGAGAACTTCGGGCACAGCCATGTGGTGGAGTTCCTGCGCTCCTGGGCGGAGAAGGCCGACCAGTCCAACGAGGAGTGTCAGCCCGAGGCGGTGATAAGCAAGACACAAGCCGATGAGGTCAGTTCAAGTCCAAGTTCAAGTCTAGGCCGGATGCCAAGCCCGTCTGTTGAGAAGCCCAAGCTGAATTCCAATCTCACTTTCCAGGAAATCTGCAGCACGAGCGACCTGGAGACCAGTCCGGCCACCAGTCCCATTCCCACGCCCGTGGAATCTGGATCCAGGGCGGGATCAGGGCGATCCAGCCCGGTGCCATCGGATGCGGGAAGTACGGCGAGCGCCGGAAGCGCCAGCAGCATCGATGACAAGACCAAGCCTGGATTATAAGAGCCCAGAGATCGAGGATCCCCGCAGAATCTCTCCGACTAAATTATTCGCACAACCTTTTAGTTTATATACGACGTATTAGATTAAAGATAAGAGTACCCGAAAGTACGCTGGTCGGTTAGTCCTATATAATTTGTAGTAGTCATCCCACGTGCAAGGCGTGGTCCTTCCAGCCGGATCCGCTGCACGAGCGGCATTTGTACTTGTACTTAGTAGAGCTTAGTTAGCCTCAATATTCCAGGGTATCCTACGAGACAATGACAATAATCTTAACGAATATCTACTAACCCACAATTCGGGGTCTGTGACCCGCCTAAATGTATTGCATTCGTACTTGTCAATTGATATTTGTATGCGTTTGTAAGTGTATTAATTATCCTGTTCCAAAAATGTCGAGCTATGTGCCGGCATACTTGATCGCAGTTGAATATATAGTTAGTTGAAAAACACAAAATATGTGGCATATCTTTACTTAAAGTGTTCAAAAGGTCTTGACTCTTTTCAGGGTGGAAGATTTACAACGGGCTTCAATGTTTGCATTTCTAATATTTTACACAATGTTCTACAAATGAAAATATAATATTTCATTGTTGTTTTAATAAATTGGAAATGTTTAAAACTCCATTTTATTTAATAAATTGGGTACTGAAGAAATTAAAAAAAAAATGGATACAAATTTTAAACTTATTAAATAGAAAATTGAATTGAATCCTTGTCCAAAGTAAAAGAGTTTTCCCTCGAAAACATTTATTTTAATCGTATCTACACAAGAATGTATATTTCATCACATTCTACAAGTATCTACTATAAAGCCATATAGTTTATTTATGTAAACCGACCGTATTTTACACGAAGAGACAAGACACGAAGCTCGATTATAGCACCATTATAGCATGTCGCCGGCCAACTTTCCCAGAGTTCAGTTCGTTCGCAGCATTCGTGGGGTTCGGACGTGGGTGTTACTGTTTCAGAGTGCGTGTTTCGTGCCGGTTTGTTTGCGGAGTTTCCATCATATCCATCCATCAGCTCCCTTTCGGTCCACACCATCTCCGCCGGAGGAGGGATGATGCACTCGTGTTCGCGTTCGGGCAGATGAATTAATTGTGGAAAATTGTTAAATTCCAGCTCGTTGAAGCGGCCACAAATCCAATTAAGCATATACACCATTTGCGGAGAGTTTGTGCATAATAGAGTAATTAAGTTTTCATAGAAAAGGGTTTTTGACACCGCACACGCCGCAGTAACTTGGGGTAGGTTCAATTTTTCCAAAGACAGCGAAACGAGAGTGGCAAAAACAACAGCAGCATCAGCATCATTTCCGGTTCCGCTTTGCTAGTTGGTTTCTCATAAGGGGCCATAAAAAACACTCGCAACTCAGTGGAGTAGACCCAAATCGGATTATTAAGTCTATGCCGCAAAAAGGATGTCTATTGTGGAGAGACTAGGGTTGCATACACCCCCCAGCCCCATGATTCCTGCATTTCCCTTTATTGACAATCTCTCTGCACAAGCCGCTGCATATCCGGGCCTCGAAATATTCGGGGGCCTTCTATTGTGAGTGGATTTTTGGCCGCTCGCTTTGTTTCTTCCCTCCACTTGGCGCAGATATGGGCAGCGTCAGCAGCTGTGGGATTGCATAATGTCCAGCTTCCTCTCCAGAAAGTAGCCCACTTTAGGTTTGGGAAGTAGGTCTGCCCTCTGGGAAAAACAAGTTCTTAAATCTGAAGGAAAATTCCTAATAATTGCTTGTTTTTCATGAAAATATGTTTATCAAGGGTTGGGTGTTCCAATTTTATTAGTTTAGATTGGATTAAAAATAATAAAGTAATATTACTCATCAAATCAAGGAGTATCGTGAAATAAAAGATATGAGGAATTATTTAATTGTTTAATAATTTAGTAAATATACCATTGGTAACGGGGCATAATTATAAATCCATTAAAAACCAGAAATTAAAATGATATCCCGAAATATTGAAAATGATTTATTCCTTTAGGTATAAAATAATAAAAATATAAATAGAAATTACCTAGCGCTAATTCAAATATCAATTGCTAAATTGTAGATTTCATATGCACATAATTTTAATTCTGCTGTTCCATTTTTTTCAGTGTAGCTACTTTTATTTTACGTATTTCCAAGTGAATCCAAACTTTTCTGACTGTTTAGCAAGGCAGTGAAACAAATGACTGAGGGCAAAAGTCTAAGCTGATTTCAATCATAACAGAACTGAATGCACCCACAATCCGAAAATGTCTCTGTCTCATTTGCTAATAACACCCCTAAGTCGGGGCCTGTATAATCAACATAATCCAGGCGGAGGGAATGTCAATCCCCAACGTCTAGTCCGTGGGAACTGGACACATGTGTGGGGAAAGGCATAGGGACAGGGACACTGACAGTGGGCTATGCAAACGATGCGCAGGAATTTCGGATTGAAGGGGCGGATTGGGGTTGCCGGTTGAGTGGTTGACTGGTTGACTGGTTGACTGGCCAAAGGAAGTTGGCTTCGGCATCAGCAAATGCCAGGCATTGATGTGTCCATCAAGTGTCTCTGCATCGGGTTCAACGAACCCCTAAGAACTAGAACGTCCGATAATAATTGATTGGTCGGAGAATAGGGATAGGGAACGGAACCCACACACACATTCCGAGTCGGGGTATCCAAAGTGAAGTATCTGGAATATCTTCAACTTGACGGGGACGTGAATCGGAAATTGGCGCTCTCTGCGGAACGCATTCGGACGTGTGATGAGCCAATTTCACACATGGCAGAGACGGCGGGAAAAACAGAAAAAATTTTAAAAAAAGAGTCAAAAACCAAAACAGAGAGCGAGCCAAGTGCAATGCCCTGGACTTCGGTTGACGCTGCACTTTTGCCACCTTGTGGAGTCGCCAAAAATAAATGCCAAAAGCCATTTCCACTTCCCGTTCTCCCCCAAAATGAAAAGCGGCTTCCCCGCTTATTATGTTCGGTTCCCCCCATTTTAAAGGCCCATATATATGGCCACCCATTTATACAGACTTATAGCGGCGCCGCCATTCATCACCAGATGAGCTCTACACCCCCGTATATTATATAGAGTTGCGGATGTGGAATCGGAATCCTGCTGCTTTTCTGTTGTTCTCTCTATTAAAATGCCACATTTAAATGCCGAGCCTCATAAATGTTTCTCTCCTCGCAATGCAGTGAAAAGAGCAGCAGCATCAAAATTGATTGCTTTCACATGGACACGAACTCGGTGAGCCCCCTGCCGCCGATGGAGGAGGCCATGGACAGGGTCAGCGAGAAGTCGCCCCCGGGAACTCCCAATGGCATCGAGATGCCCCCGCCGCCAGATGAAAAGTGAGTTCAGATTACCCGAAAACCAAAAATAGCCCCTAAATGAGTGTAAATTCTGTTGTTTTAAATATTAAATAGGGTTTTAGGAGGCCTATAAGGTTAGGAATTAGGAATTTTTAAATTCAATCTCGAGATTCTTATACAAAAGCCATGCTTAGATTAATGATTTCATCTCTTTTTATTTAATACATGGTAAAGTAAACGTATTTAAGATGATACAAACATATAGAATCAAGACTGGAGTGTATTTATCTTCAAGTATTATTACTGATTTTTAAAGTCGCAAACTACTTAAGGCTATTTATTTGTTAAGTTTTAATTTATTTATTTATTTTGACACACGTTTTGCCCTTTATTATTTTAAAACTTAAGTTTCGGTGATAAACAACTAAGTTAGATGTTTAATAATATTTCAATAAACTGTATTATTTTGAGGGTAATTTATAAAACCGCTTTTCTCCAGAAATCTCTCTATCTCACTTGCCCAATCAATCCCCCATGCCCAGCTAATCAACACAATTTAGTCAACAGATTCCCCAACACATTTGTTTATCAATATTTAAGTAAATTGTGTCACTTATGCATGGCAAATTCGAGGCAGGCACAAAAACGGAGAGACCAATTTCCCCGGAGGCCAATTTGGAACTCTTGTCTAGCCGGCAATTGGCCTTGCTCGTCTCGGATGCTCAGCTTGCAGTTGGAACCTGCACCTAAAGATATGGAAAACAAAAGCAGACTCAGGCGTCCGTAGTATGCCTTTAATCGATTTTAATGGCACCACGCGGCGTATGAGTAATATTTACATGGAATAGGACACGGACACGTTAGGAATTACCCCAAAGACTAATTAACAATAACGAAGAGCAGCCAGTGTCGACGCCTACACGCCCTTCGAGAGGTGGTAAGGGGTACTGGCCACTAGTCGAGGCTATTTTTACGCGCCAATTTCCTAATTCACGTATCTTTGAAAGTCGTAAATTTTATTTTAATGCGACCTCGTCGCAAATCACACAAAACCCCGGACACATCCTTCCTGTAACCCGTACGTACACCCACAAATTCAACAGTTGATCGCGTGCGCAAAACTCACATAGAAACCGGCAGTAAACATTCCGCCCGGAATCCTCCCACTCCCCCTACCACATCCTTTGGCCCTGTCCTTGTCCGATTTCTGGCACGAAGCGCGGTAAGCTTCGAGTAATTACGGGTATTTTTCCTTCTTTTCCCGGGGACTCAACCTTTTCGCCGCCTCGTTTTCATTTCATTTTCATTTGGTTTTCATTTGATTTCAAGTAATTTTTGGGCGCGTTGCCCGCACAAAAACCGCACTGGCTTATGGGCTCCAAGGAGCTGGAATAATGACCCAAAGTCCCAGGGTGTGTTTGTTCTGTCTGTTCCCGTGGAGTGGGAGTGTGAATGGGGTATTAGATATAAGGAATAGTGGATGGCCCTATCCCACTGCACGAGTAATTGCTGACCCAGTATTTCACTCGGAATTAGTGGAAGCCCCGCTTCCATAAATACTTGATTGATTCAGGCTGCTGCTGGCAGGTGTTTTGATTGATACTCGTATTTACTTATTTATTTATAGTCGCAAAGTATTGTTGACAAACAGGTGTCCCCTTAATTAGTTTCCTAGATGGGAGGTAGGAAACTATTTCTGTTCTTTTATGTATTATTTTAGCTAAGTTTGCCTTGTATTTCTTATCGCAATGCCGAATATTTTTCTACCAGACATTTTCCAGTCAGCTGATGATCTTAGCTATCTTTTATTTACACTCCTAATCTGGATAGTCTAAGTAGCAGCCTTTTAGACCTCAAATTACATAACCCAAGGTCGAGGCGAGAAGACACCATGTCATTAATCTTACTAATCAAGAAATCTTATACAAATAATTAACACATCTTAAAATTCATATTTCCCTCCATGGAGTATGGTTTATGTCTCAGCTTTAAAAGTTCTCTATTCGGTTCAGTTCTAGGCTAAACCAATATCCATCCGGTTGGTGTCTCCGCTAAAATATCGTTACGATTGAAAGTGCATATGTGATCTTTTAGTTCCGGGGAGCTTCGGCCAGAAAAGTGAAATATATTTTCAGTTGTCTCTAGCTGATCGCCGCGATCTGATCGTTGTTACACTTCACTTGATAATCAAATTCAGTGAATTTAATTGAGGATTTTCGTGCGGTTGTTTGTGTTAGTGCGACCGTTAACAAAAGGAGCAACATAAACAAAAGCATAGGGAAAAAGAAGAAAAATACTTTTATATTTAAAGTGCTTTGTTTATGCTGAACTTGTGTGCCACTTTTCTATAAATTTTGGATGCTATTACAAGCTACTTGCGGATCTGCCACTTTCTTTGACTCAGAAACAGAGACTCGTTCGACGTAGTTGGACAAGAATCGGAATTTGCATCAATAGAAGAAAGACCCAACTTGATTAAATTCATTGTGAACCTGGGACCTCCCCTCTTGAGCACATGAATAGATAACGAACCGAATCCGTCACTGTTTTTGGGATCGCTTTTGGCCCCGTGTGATTGACAAATTAACGCATTCAGCTTGATTAGCATCTGTATCCGAGCCAGGCGTCGGTTTTCAATTGTCTCTCGAATGTGGCATTTTACAGAATCGGCATAGAATCGATAGAGAGGCCCAATTACGCGGAAAACACCAGCCACTCTCTACTCATAAACGACCTTTAGTTGGGCCATCCTATATATAAAGTGCTATATAGAGCCGATCTGTGACGCACCGCCCAGCGATTCTACATTTAGTGGGTGGCGGTGACGAAACAAGCAGAAAAACCCAAAGAATTTCGGCCCAAATAGCAACACTTGGCTAAATGCGTGATCGCCACTTGGCCAAAATGCCGCGTGGAGGAACGACAACAGCGTAAGTCCCAGTCCTACGAATAATACATCTATAAACCACCCCCCACAAGGCCAGACTTTAGACCCAAAACAAACAAATTGCGTGCTGTTCCTAAGCGTATTTATTTAATTTAAACAGTTTCTGAATACAGAAAGAAAAAGTACTTTGATCGTACGTATCAGGTTGTAGTAGCGCGAATTCGATTGTATTTTCAAGATACAATTTCAGGCATATGTGTATGTTCGGGTCGGATTATTGTACTCCCTCGAGAGATCGCCTTAATTGAAACCGCCGCGACATCGACAGCGTCTCTAAACAATTGCTGGGCATTGTACACAGTAACCCCCTACCAGATCAGATCAGATCAGACCGCACCAGTATATTATATAGTATGCCGTACTCGTACTTCGTCATAATCAACCCGCAGGATAAACTGAAGTGTGTGTCGAGCATTCGAGTGATTTTCAGCCATGCGTGCGACAGCAAATGTTTTAATTCGCCTCGATCCGCAGACTTTTAATTGTGCATTCCGCGTCAGCTCGTTACTTGTTACATCTGATGGTTTCTTTAATTGAATTGTGCCCTGGCTTCCTGCCGCTATTTCTTTCCTACTCTGTTTTTCCCTATTTTCATCTTTCGACCAGTTAGCATTGCTCTACTTTTGAGAACCAAGTTAACCAGATAATTACCCTGCTTTTATAACGGCCTTCATCCGAGTTCTGGTTTCCCTATTATCTGATCACAACTTTTTTTGTTGATCCACTCTCGGTTAGACATCTGGCTGCCATGGTCATCATAATCTCCATCACATGACTGAGATAAGCAGGTTCCTAAATTTACTCAAGGTTTGGGGACAGTTGGCTTGTCCGCAGATAAGAAACGATGAAGGCTTAGTTGTAAGATATAACATCATTTTGAACTTGATATTCGCAGATTGTAAATCATTTTTGCATATCTCAAATGCGAACCTTTATATACCTTAATTTAATAAGATATTTTCAAATGTTATTAGATTAAATGATGAAAAAGATTTTTAGACACGAATAAAATAAGTGATAAGTTTAACTATAGCATTCATATCTTAACGACACTACACATCGTTAAAAATATTATTCTATTAAGGTATTAAAATTGGAAAACCCAATCCTAGTTTTCAGATTAAAAGTTATTTAATTTATCTTCTTATTTGCATGTCGCTTTGTAAGATATGTCAAATCACAAGTAATCCTCGCATCAATCACGATAGTTTTCTCAGCTTACATTTGCATAAATGATGTTTTTAATTTCCATTTGTTAAATGACTTTAGGAATTCGCAGATTACGCTGCAACATCGATGCGCTTTCTCTGTTTATTTACCTACCATTTGCAGTGGGTGCCAGTGCCACCGCAGAGTCAATAGCCTTTTATCCGCGCTGACCCATTAGCCATGTGTCGCTGCACCTAGGCCAAATACCAATAGACGGCTCTGTAACTCGGGCTCAGACTGAGCTCAGTTCAGGTTCAGGTTCGAATACACCAAACAGGTGGCGGCCAGCAAACGAGTTTTCCATAAAACGAAAAGCTTTTAGCGAAAATTTCTCAGCGCAGCCGGCAAATGAAAAGTGAAAGAGATACAAATGTGCAGCCAAAGATACAGATACAGATGCAGATGCACCCGTTGGTGTGGGCTTGTTTTCCAACAATCTGCGGCAAGGCAAGTGAAATGTGTGTTAAAGCAAACAGCCACTGCAGCTAGAGAGATGCCCCTGCCCCTTGCCGCGCCCCCTCGAAAATGTGTTGATAGCTAAATGCCTGCCCCAACCGCAGTACCAATCCCAAACCCAAACCCAGACGCAGCTGCAGCCACATCATGTATCCACAGCCGCAGCCTCATCCACATCCACATCCACTGCGGCGGAGGAGTGCAAGTTGTGGCAGACAGTCGTTCATTGACACCGCCATCGGATGCACGGCAAGAAATAAGATCAATGATCGTATTTTATCCCTATAAAAGATAAAAGTATTAGGATAAATCTAAAAAAAAAGGTTATCTTATCTTTAACTAAAATTTTAGCTTGATAATTCTTGATCTTATTAAATAAGGTGTTGGTATATAAGATCAGTTGGATTTTTCCTTCAGAATGAAAACGGTTGTTCACGCCCTATAAATTGAGCATAGGGAATTGTTTCGCCCAAAGTCTCCTATAATATTTATTATAGAAAAGCGTCTTCAAAAGTACACAGTACCAGATTGAGATGCCCACTCAAACAAACTCTATTCATATTTAAATTAATATTTATATTTATAAATTTAAAGTGGTTAGTTTCAGGTCAACAACTCGAATGCATTAACAGATGAAATGACAATTTTAAATTAGCATTTTGGGCACTTCTGGCAAAAATTGTGATGTTTTAGTCATTTGATCTACTGATGAAATTAAATTGATATTCTTGGTACATGGTACACACAGACAGATATACCATAAATATCCGATACCTACAGCAAAGTGCATTTCTGGCAAAACTTGGCAACATTTTCTAGGTGTTTAGGTTTATAAAATTAATTAAACTTGCTCAGTTACCCACTGTACGTTGAGCTATATCCAAATAAAGATAGTACCTATAACCTGCATACCTAACAATTTTGGTCTTCAGGTTTCTAATTTAAAACCTAAAATAACCAACTTTATGATTATTAAAGCCTGAGTTTAATTGTTTACAAAAAGTTTAAAATTGTATTACGAACTGCATGCTGAGTAGATTATAGATGATTTATATGGTTAATTTCACATAAATCACAGATAAGCCATTGGCTTTTCTCCGAGTGCCTATGATCTTTGGCTACTCAGAATGACAGCAACACCGATCCCGATCCGGCATATCCGATGCACTTCGTGGATTGTGTCGCATGTAAATTGGAGCACCCCAATGGCATTATCTTCGCTGTGATGCAAGTGTCGTGAAAGCGAGAGTGCCGCCGATTGGTGATTGCTTTGGCTTTCATTATCACAACATGGGGCTCGCACTATTAATTTAAATAATAGGTCTGTTTATGTGCATTCGATACGTTGTTGCACCATTGGGTTTCGGAATTTCGAACGAAACCACAAGCCAAGGAGCTGCACTTGGCGATGATTAGGCGTTTCGTTGGTGGCCAGCAATGCGTCTAATTACCCCAACTGCATGCGGTTTCTACTCCAGTTTGTCTGCAGTCTGTTTACTTTCGACAGATCAACAGATGGCTTTGGTACGGCTGCCTATTGTGTGTTTTTGTGGGACTTCTCCCACTGCACCATGCTGATGATGGATCTTTCGGATGGGTGAGATCATTGCGCCCATCATCGGCGGCATCAGGCATCGAAATTGTATGTCATACGATCGCACGACAAGTGATGAAATTAATATGACGGACAGACCGCAATTGGGTGGAAACAATACACTCTTGACTCCATTACCCTTTCCCCAGCTGTCAGAATTTGGGATAAACTTCAACCGAAAATATAAAACCCTCACCAGCAAACAAACTTTAAACCTAAAATTCAAGGACAATACGAAAAGTTGATAAAGAAGTTGGCATGGTGAACTTTTCAACCCAGAGCTACTCCACTCATTAGGGAAAATTGTAAATTTACTAGTCAAATTAGATAATTCCGTTTTTCTTAGATCCTCTGTGATTCCACTTGATCCACATGTCCGTCTGTTGTCCATCAATTAAGCCGATTAGCAGCACATTCAACCCGCAATTAGCGTAATCTCTTGAGAATCTCTGACAGAATCTCCATAATTCCAAGGCAGCCCCCGGAACCGTCATAAATTGCGTTTAATGAGGGGCAACCCACATTCCCTATTAGGAATGCATATATTCTAATCTAAGTCCCTTGTAAGCCTAGAGATATAGTGGATATTAAGAGTATGTTTTGATATCGTATATAGTCCTAACAATATGAAACCAATCGACGGACCCTTTATCGACGAACTGAACCGCATGATCTTTCGTCGTCCCAGCTTCATAAAGAGTCGAAAGAAAAAGTAATTGATAAGGTTATGTTTTACGTGTTATCATTATGCTGCATTTTTGTTACAGACGCTATGAGGAGGATCCGGACAATGCCTGGAACTGCTGCTCCTGGTGCGAGTACTTGCTGATCGTCATCCTGTCCACCATCCTGCTGGTGGGCGTCCTCGTACTGACCCTCTTCTGGGTGATGTTCTACCGGGATGGCTTCGCCTGGTCGGAGAGTCCCAAGCAGCAGTTCAACCTGCATCCCATTCTGATGATAGCTGGCTTCGTAACGCTCTCCGGATTTTGTAAGACCCTCTTTTATTGTTTCGGATGTACTGATCTAGTGTGAGATACCCAAAATTAGCCATCTTGATCTACCGTTTGTGCCGGTGCGTGAAGCACATCTATGTGAAGCTGATCCACATGTTCTTCCACGCCGTCGCCATTCCGTGCATCGCCCTGGGTTTCCTATCCGTCTTCGATTCCCACGAGGCGTTGCAAAAGGTCAACTTCTACAGCCTCCACTCGTGGCTGGGCTTCGTGACAATGGGCATGTTCGTGCTCCAGTTTGTGATCGGCTTCTTCAGGTGGGTCTTCACACTTCGGTGTCTTAATCCGGCAAATTAATAAGCCTTCTATCTATTTAGTTTTCTGGTGATGTTGTGCTGTGAGAACAAGACCTACAGCTGCCGATCCGCCATGGTGCCCATCCACGCCAGTTTGGGACTGGCCAACTTCTGGCTCGCCATTGCCACATCCGTCACGGGATTGATCGAGAAAGAGCGCGAAACCGTCAATGAGACGGGCGTGAGGTAAGAATTATTCAAACACTATATCCATGGGTACCTCATAAACAATTTTAATATGGTAAGGGTAGGTTTTAAGCTGCAGAATGAGAATAGTTGGGAAACCAATTTAATTTCTTTCTTTTTGGTCAATAAACACACCTGCCAATTGAACGTCTTGTTCTCGAGGACTACATTTTTAAAATCCAAGAAATACCTTTTGATAATATGGATACATTTAATATAGAACCTTTTAAAACGTGAAATAGATTTCATAATTTATTTAATAAGCCAAGCTTATTTATTTTATCATGTATTTTCTATACTATTGTCTAATTTATGTATATATGTCTTATCAGCATCACCATCACTACTTAGTCTACCCAGTCAAACTGCATGATTCTCCGTCGATTTTTTAACTTATAATCCGATTTAAGATTTAAAAAGTTAGAAATCTCATTATTATCTTTATCATACTCATCCCTTGACAGAAAATATAAGCTTTGATCCTGGAACGAAATGTATTGATTTGATTGCTCTTCCCTCGCAGCCAGGAGAACAAGCTCATCGAGCACTATATCACCAGTGCCATCGGCGTCACCCTGATCTTCATTGGCATTATCGTGACTTTTGCGGTTCGGCGATCCAATGCTCCCGCCTCCGCGAAGGTTTACGTGACGGAGCGCATTTAGACGGGCCGCCCGGCTCGTCGGAGTCTCCGTCGTCGGATTTGGTCCACGGCCAGGACGGGAAGCGAGTCGCAACGGGTGTATCCGAGCATCCCGGATCTCGGTGACATGGACTGGACTTAGGGAAACGGGAACTGAATCGCATCCACGGTGTCCTTTCGCCAGGCTTAGCGCACAGAGACCACGCTTCTACATCTCTATCCGAATCTATCCGAACCCTTTGTAACCTTTTATATGCCAAATTAAACCCTCTTCATACACTTAGACTACGCTAATCAAAATCTTTGCCCACTTTCAACTTCTCAGTAGATGTGTAGGATTAGGAATCTCAGAAGAAAAGAGCCGACCAAGCAAGCAAATCTAATCAAAATTGACGTGTTCAGCCGAACTAACTGATGCATTGAGGCACCCACAAGCTGATTAGCCAGTTTTTTGGTACTATAGTAGAATTTTGATATAAGCCCATGTAACTAGTGTATGTACCGTACCATGTAACGCATTCAATGTACGCACTCGGACTCAAAACTGTCGCATTTGATGTTTTTTTGTAATCGTGCAAGTATTTGTATTTCATAATGCGCTAAGCAACGTAAGCTGTAAACCAATTTTACAAACAAATAATAAACGATAATTTTGCCCTGCCCGAGGGGTCTCTTAATATCCAGTTTTATTCTCTAGAGTAAAGTTTTTCCAGTACTTCTTACTTCTTCTACTTCCTGTGGGATCATTTTTAATGGGTATTGAGGGAATTATAATTCGGCGATTGCGAGGGGCTACCATAAGTTCCTTTAATGTGTTTCACAAAATATTATCGCAGACTCAATTTCTCTTATCAGCTTTTGATTCTGAAACATTTGGTTCTGAGACGAAGCTATTTAAACCACTGAAGTAAGCCCACTGAGAGTCAGTCGTATAGCGGACTCTTCGGTGATTGGACCAAGAGCTGTGTTTTTATTTCTATTGCGAGGAAATCAATGACGGAATCTGTGGATTTTTTTAAATTTAAAATTACTATTAAGTTTGTTTGTCATCAAACTTGGAAAGTCTGGATAGTCCGAATGTGACCCTCGTGATGGAAATGTGAAGAATACAAGGTTTGCCCTTCGAATATTTAATAGATTTGGCTATTTACTTAAAACCTTATTAATTCCAGAAACTCTCCATCTAAAATAAAGGACTACTGCCCCTATCACCATCAACCTCATTCCGATTTTCCGAAAACCATATGGTTAGTTCTGTAGTAGTGCTGCACAACAATCACATATGGTTTTGGGAAAGTCCGAATTAGACTGATGGGGATAGAGGCAGTACCGAGGAAAGCAGACCACGAGAGTAAGTTCATGACTAGTAGTATAACTTTCCTTATTACGTGTTTCTTACATTCAAATTCTTTCCTCGATATTGCATAATTTTGACTAATAAGTTCTAAATTCTCTCGCAGGTTCAATTGAATCCTTCTTTGGCAAGCCTTGTTTTCTCTGGAGCCTGTGTCATGAGCATTTATTTATATGGAAACAAAAACACAAGTTTGAAGAAAGGATCCCCAATTCGACCCGAAGGATTCGAAACACCGGAATATAAGCCTTTACACAGTCAATTTCAAAAGTTAACAGCCGGGATTTTAGATGCATCTTGTTGAATTATAAAATATAATGAAGGTCGATATTTACAAATCAAATACCTGCACATTGTCATTTTAAATGGTTTCAACTAATTAACCGTCGAATCTCCACAAATATCTCAGCTACCCACTCCAGATATTAAAAGGTTTTTAGAGGCCCTAAAATCACTTTAACTAAAACTTTATCTCTTTATTCTAAGCAGTCTTTGCGAAGCTTATTTCTCCGCTAACAGAGTCATTATCATGTTGATAGTCCCCAAAATTTGTCCACGTATAGTTCCAGAATTTAGGATCTGCTCGAGGATCAGCTGGTTTATTCGAAGGCGGCACTGCGGTGGAATTAAAACGTGCCAGTTCCGTCATTAATGCGATGACGACTTCGGGATATCTTAAGGAATATTCACAAAGATTACTAGTAGTACGTACAAAATTGACCGATTTCAGAACTTACTGCTTTGCCAGATTGAATTGCTCACAGGGATCGTCGCGAATGTGGAACAAACATGGTTCTGAGAAGGCGGTGGCCTTACAACTGGTTCCTTGAGAGGATTGTGCTTGGCAAGCTACCGTGGCGGCTGCTCGTAATCTCTGCTGATCCGCTCGACTGGGGAGCATCTTTAGGGCTTCCAGGGCTTTGCCTGCCCTACTTTTGGCCACTGTCTGCCAGTCGTAGAGCCGGGGATCTCGCTCCCCAGCCGGTCCATACCATCCATCCCAGCTGCCTCGATAGTTGGTCCCCTTGACCAACTTCCAATCGCCAACGCTTAGAGCGGCACTGCCCCAAATATCATCAATGTTATGGAGGACATTCAGACGTGGTGAAGCCTTATCCTGGACCAGAGCCCGCCAAATGCTTTGGCCATCGATTGCCTTGCTAAGATTACCCAAGGCCGGTTGACCACCAGCTGCCTCCAGGAGCGTGGGCAGCCAGTCGGTGATGTGCATGGTCTGATTGGACACTCGCTGGCTCTTCTTGAGCAGAGGTGACCAGATGAGACCCGCCGCTCTTACTCCACCCTCCCACAAGGTGTTCTTCACACCCTTCAGGGGGTAATTGGAGGCAAAGTTCAGGTTAAAACCCTGGGCTGGACCGCCGTTGTCCGAGGAGAATACAATTATGGAGTTCTCCAGCATGTTGGACTGGCGCAGCTGGTCCACAATCTGACCCACGGAGTCGTCCATTTTGGCTACCATAGCTGGGATATTTAATAGAGATTAGTAGGACAGAAAATCATATTATGATAAATTTGTCACTTACCTGCGAATTTCCGACGTTTATAGTGTGGAATGTGCCCCATCTTGATCACATCGTTGTCCGGAACTGGCAGCGGATTATACGGATTACTCGAGTGGCAGGCTGCATGGGCCACGTAGAGAAACAGAGGACCATTGGTGGAATTATGGTTGGCAATTACCTTGACCGAATGATCGGTTATCACGTCCGTAGTGTAATGACCATGAAGGTCGTAGGCCACTTCCGTCCCATTGCGCATATCCAGACCCCAGAGATTGTTCTCCACGGCTGTGTGATCATTGTAATCTTGGTGACCCGACCAGAATCCCACGTGGCTACTAAAACCCCGATGAAGTGGAGTATACTTAAGCTTCCAATGCCCCAAGTGCCATTTGCCAGCTATGTGAGAGGTGTAACTGCAAAAAGAGATTATGGGTAAGGAGTTACGGTCATGAACCTGGAAATATTATAGACCTACCCCAACTCGTTTAAGTACTGGGGTAGGATCTTCTCCTCCAGCGGCAAACCCCGAGGTTCAGCGGCATAAAGAACAGTGTGTTGCATCCCTATAAAAAATATACTTTAATTAATAAATATTAGATATGTAAGACATTACTCACCCGTATGTATGGGATACTTTCCCGTCATAAGCGCAGATCTTGAGGGTGTACAAATGGGTGCCACATAGTAGCGATTCAGAATAACACCGGAATAGGCGAGGGCATCAATATTGGGCGTGGGAATCTCTGCCGAACCATGGAAGCCCACATCGTTGAAGCCCTGGTGGAAAGAATATTGTAAAATATGTGGAAATTCTGATTATATGGTTGTAATAATCTTACCAGATCATCTGCCAAAATAAATATAATGTTCGGCTTTGTTGGAGGTTTCTCCTCCTCACATGAAATCAAATTGGGTAGCACCAAGCAAATAAGCCATAAAAAAAGCATTGTCTTCCTGAAAAACTAAGAGATCGTGTGATATATGCAACAATTAGTTAAAACTAATTGATGTATTGCAGAGATTCCCAGTGACAACAATTACGAGATCGGTCTCGATTTCAATTGATTGATCATCCACCGTTTTGTATCGTGGCATTGATCATCATCTGGGTTGGAATTCATTTGTCTGTCGATATGGAACTGAATCAGCAATTGCACTCAGTGCGACCTCAATTTGGATGGGCCACACTTCACCTGCACTGAATTAATCGATTCGCAGTTGGAGTTCTACATTTAAGATGCAATTTATTGGTTATAGGAACACACTAAAGAATTTATGTGATGGGATCCGAATACACTTTGTTTGTTTTGTAGCAATGTTCAAAGCGATTGTGACATCTAATTAGCATGTAAATTGCGTTTGTCGCTGCTTGTACCGTTAATGGGTCAACAAGTGCCACACAGTAATCAGAAAGCTCAAATTAAAAAACCAAATTAGATTCCGAGACTTTTTCCAGACAGATCGACCCTTTAATGCTCTTAATAATAATACAAATATTAAAATGCTCTTTGTAATAATAAATAAATATGATAAGAATTATGATTGTTTAAATGCTTATCAACCGAAGGATTTTAATATTTAGTTTAAATTTTATTTTTAGCTTTACTTTTCGATGGAAATTTTATATTCTACTGACTTTTGAGTTGGGTGAAGTATAATCCGTATACAAAAAAGATCTCCTTGTCTTTTTAACTTTTTGTACTAACCAGAGTTGTTTGATTTTTTGTTTTAAACCCAAAATGAAAGGTTCATAATGATGTCTCTATTTTCTATGTAAAAAATTCTTTGTTATACAAACAATCATTCTATTGGGTTTGTCATAGGTCACTAACCCCTTCTGAGTTTCAAAAGAAATTCGTTTATGCTAAATCACTCATAAGTCAAATATATTATTTTTGTGACGATTAGTAAAGTTCACGCCCTTACCGCTTAAACTTTTTGTTTACTTTTCTCAATTTTGGAATTAATTAGGCAGATAAACAAACCGCGGGCAATATTTATTTTACACGTAGACTTGTTAAGGTTTGTTAAGCATGACAGTTGTCCTCGATTTTATTTGCAAATTTATTATTTGACTTTTGGTTAACTTCAATTTTTGTGCATATATGTAGGCTCTCTATATTAACGAATGATTTATGTTCACTGGAGATCGAATTTTGAGAATCTGGGAGTTCGGCTCTTACCGGTTTGCCAATCGCCAACCGTTTTAATTCACGCGCCAAGTCAGACTGAAAAAATTCCCAAACAGCAGCAGAGCCGCAGACCTTTAACAGTGAAAGCAAAACGCTGTTAAAGATCGAAATCTATTCAGACAGTGGAAGAGAGCTACAGAGCGCTTTGTCGGTTGAAATTGCATAAAAAAAGCGAAAACTATTGCCTTTGATGACCCACGACCCATGCAACCAGAAATGGGAAAACATTGCATAATAATTACATTATTTTATAGTACACAGAATCAGGTGGGGGAATATCTACGGAAAACGCTGTAGGTAAAGTTCAACAAACTACTTTGAAAACAGATATATTCCTTCGAACCACCGGGCTCCTGTCAAGCCCGCGGCATTACACTTTTAATGCTTAGCTTTAAAGTTACATCTAAAAGTACACAATGGGAAATAAATATAGGCTAGACAGGCAATAATTTCTTATAGAAAGCAACCAAATCACCCAATGCTTTATGTTTTTAACAGGCCCCCAGGCGAATGGAGGGCGTTTAGAGTATTTCCAGGTCCACGTGACGTATTTCTGGGAATTGCGTCTGCCAAAGAAACATGAAGACAGGTTAGAAATCAATAACATAAACACTGGATACCAAAAAACTAACCCGCAGATTCATCTCAATGCGATCAATTTCACCGCCCATCAGGTCCACAATGTTTTCGCCTTGATCGAGCAGAAAGCCCTCCAGATCCTCAACCTTTTGGAAGCCTCGCACCGTCTGTAGAGTGGAACAAAAACCGGTTAGTGACGGGCCCAGAAATGGGTCAACAATACGCACCGTGAGCAGCTTGGCGAGATCCTGTTTGTCCAGATACGAACGCGTCAGCTCGCGACCGTCAAAGTCGAGCTCAGCCTGCGAATATAATTTAGTCTCATTAAAGCCCTTGAAAAGCAAGGTCGTCTCACCTTGTAGCGGACTCGAGCGTTGCCAATATCGATGCCCTTGACATCGTAGATCGCCCTGATCATCACATCGGCCTCCAGAGCAGAATTAATCTTCTCCAGACGCTCGGAAGCAATAGATATCCCCACCAGGGCATTAGCGTTTGTGTAAATGATAAAGGAGGCCACGGCACCCAAAAGAGCACCAATGACCAAGGATCCAGCGGCATCAAAGATGGGGGATCCTGTGTAGCTGCTCAATCCCATGCAAGCTCCAGCCACCATAACGCCAGTCACAGCAGCAGCGTCCTCGCAAAGCACCACATTAACGCAGGGATCCTTGCCAGAAATAACTGTGGGGAAAAGGAGGTAGCCATTTATTTATTTATTATACTGAAAAAACTCACCATAGTCCTTGAAGGTCATGTTGTTCTCCTTGGCCGATCGCTTAAGCTCGTTGATGGCCACCACCAGAGTGGCTCCCTCCGAAACCAGCGATCCCATCAGGATGCAGTACACCCAAAACAGATCTGCGATGGGTTCCGGATGGAGAATGCCGTCAATACCGTGGTAGATGGACAGACCACATCCAACGCAGAAGATGCCCACGCCAGAGATCAGTGAAGAAACATATCGCATGTTCATGTATCCGTAAGGATGATCGATGTCCGGACTTTGGGAGGACTTGTAGATGCCAAAGGCCAGGATGAGCTGGTTGATCAAGTCGGCCAGCGAATGGATAACCTCCGCAAACATGCTGTGGGAACCGCTGTACAGCCAACCGCCAGCCTTGAAAAGCAAATTGGCCGCATTGCTGAAAGGAATAATGCCTTGTTTTTGGACATAATCATTTCCTAAATTCTGGAACTCACATGGCAATGGCAATGCCCACCACTTGTCCGGATTTCTCCGACTCCTTGCGGTTGTCGAGCATCACTTTGGTGCGGGAACCCATCTCCCTGCGGTAGTCGCGCAGCCGCCGCTTGACAGTGAAAAGATCTGCGGAGTCATAGACTTTAGCACTCTCATTAAAGGTTGGATGGGAAACAAGGGAATCGGTCACTCACTCTGCTGGTACTGCTTGCGCTCTACCTCTCGCTTAAGTCGCTCCCGCAGCAGGTTCTCCTTGGAGCCCCACACCTCGACGGCCTTGGCCTCCACATCGCGTCGCCAGTAGACTGTCATGGGTGGCTCCTGCTCGTACGGCGATCTCCGCTTGATTTTGGGCAGACTTTCAAGGTCTGCAGCGGTCAGCAGGAAATCACTAATGGCCCGATTGGGCGTCACAAAGTTGCGCTCCAGGGAGGCGCGATAATCGAATCGAGGTCGCTTGGGAGGCAGCACAGGCGGCGGCTCCGTTGTAGGAGCCAACATCTCCTGTCTTTTCAGCTAGCACAGCTGCAGCCAAAGCTATTGCAGTCGGAGCAGGTGCTGTGGCTGGCATAGTTTCAGCAGGATTCATATGAGAACCAACTCCTCCCAGTGGAGCTCCCGCTGCAGTGGAGCTGGCTCGCAGGTTGATGGCAGCGGCGGCCAAGGGCCGGTTCCTTCAGCTTGGTCACCGGCGGCAGATCGGATTTCTCGAACACGATCTCGTTGATCTTGGAGTCCTCGATGGTGGTGCTGATGGACAGGATGCCCTTGGACGTCTTTACCTCAAAGTTTTTCGTTTGCTTCTCCTTAGCGGGAGTCTCCTCCAGCAGCGCTGGCTCCTTTTTCTTGGAATCACTGCCACCGGCAGAGCAGCGAAACTGGAGTAACATGCCGGGTCGCATCCTGGGATGCGGTTGAGCATCATTCCGCCGCCAGGGATTTCCGGCATCGTGGCGCAAGGAGCACTGGCCGAAGGCCCTTCCAAGCTGCTGGTGTCTTCGCTGCAGGATCTGCACGCCGCGCATCAGCATCCTGCACTGGGAATAATGGGTTAGGGCTATCTGTTCAACATGTACATGTAGTATTGCTTACACGGCGCGCTGCGTCACTATCAGACCTTAGATCCCTATCGGTTGTTTTGCTATTGTTGGGGGTGCTCCGTGGTTTCACTTTTGGCCGAAAACTACGTCATGCGGGGCAAATAGAACGGGGTGAATGCGAATTACGGGCGTAACAACTCCTGATTGAGTGACTCTGTGGAACGCCCCACTCGGTCCTGGGGGCACAATCCTTGGGGCGACGCGGGCGTACTTGGAAATTGCTTTTAAATCGACATTGGCAAAGTTTTTATACTGAAAATTTAACCATCACCGGCTGGCGCTTTTTGCCTGTGCTTTGGCCGTTGTTTTTGTGGTTTTCGTTTCTCGCCAGCGCCAGTTGGTCACACCATAAAGCTATTATTTACTGTTCTTACTGAAAAGCATCTTAGGAGACTCTAATTGGGATTTAAAGGACGTAACTGCCAAGAAATAGCATTCTAGAAATGTATATATATATGTATATCTGTATTTGACCTACCTCATTCTTAGTTAGTTGAAACCCCTGAAACATCTTTATTAAATTGTCATTTTTTTTCAAAATTGCAATTTTTAAAACGGTAGTACGGATGGAACAGTGCGAACAGCTCACTAGCCTCCTCAGTGTAATCGATGTTTTTATCGATAGCAGCTTTAAGCTTTTGCCAGCACTGGCGCAACAGCTGTTTTCTGCCGGTCGTTTTATAATCACTTGATTTTCCTATTTAACTTTTTGATTTTCCCTGTTTTAAGCCACAAAATGTCAATGTTGATGCAAGGAGTGTCGAGACTAGCCCGTCAGTTCACCCGCCCACTTGTTGCTTCCCGCTCTTTTGCGGCAGCGACGCCTTACGGTAATGGCGATGAAGTTCTGGTAGAGCGATTACAGGGACCTCGCGAGGGAATCTCTGTTATTGGCCTGAATAGGCCGGCAGCGAAGAATTCCTTCAGCCGGGGCATGGTGGAGACATTCACCGATGTCCTGGACGATATAAAGAAGGATAATGCAAACAGGGTTGTTATATTGCGCAGTCTTACACCTGGAATCTTCTGTGCCGGCGCCGACTTGAAAGAGCGAAAGGGTGAGAATTTATATTAAAGACCCTCAAACCACTGATATAATAGCCATATAAAACACAGGCATGTCTCCCGAAGAAGCGACCGAGTTCGTAAAGGAGCTCAGGGGTCTGCTCATCGCCATCGAGCAACTGCCCATTCCCGTCATCGCCGCTTTGGATGGCGCTGCCCTGGGTGGTGGCCTGGAAATGGCTCTGGCCTGCGACATTCGCACCGCCGCTTCGAACACCAAAATGGGTCTCGTAGAGACTAGGTTGGCCATCATCCCTGGAGCCGGAGGCACTCAAAGACTGCCACGCATCCTGTCACCCGCACTGGCCAAGGAGCTGATTTTCACGGCGCGTGTTCTCGACGGAGCGGAGGCCAAGGATCTGGGGCTGGTCAATCATGTGGTGCAGCAGAACGAAGCCAAGGACGCCGCCTACCAGCAGGCCCTCAAGTTGGCCGAGGAAATCCTGCCCAACGGACCCGTGGGCGTGCGAATGGCCAAGCTGGCCATCGACAAGGGCATGCAGGTGGACCTGGCCACCGGCTACTCCATCGAGGAGATCTGCTACTCACAGGTGATACCCACCAAGGATCGCCTCGAGGGACTCGCCGCCTTCGCCGAGAAGCGCAAGCCCGTCTACAAGGGGGAGTAGAATCTAACCACTCCTAAAGTTAAGCTGACAATTGCATTTATAATTTTATCTGTTACTGTTGTGGAAACACTCAAGCGGCAAAGCCCAGTTCAATTGTTTCTATATAAATCGTTCGATCCTATCGAGCTGCCAAATAACTTAAATTACGCTAATTGTAGTTAATAGCTGCGGTGACGCATCTCTATTTAGTACTGAAAATGCTAATTACAGCCATTAAATACCACCGATCGACATACACTCCCCATTTGCATTGCATGTTCCCGCACAGCATAGAACTGGAAATTAGATGCAAAATTCACCTTGATCGTTCTGTCGTCGAACTATGCGGAAATCGGAATTTCTTGGGAAGCCGTGAGTTAGAAAGTTCCTATTGTCATGCGAGTTAGGTTCAGTGTAATTGCATGGCGAATCAGCCTACAAGTGGCGGCTATAATACCAAATGACTGTGCCTTGGTTTGTCATTTGTACAGCAGGTAATTTGCATATTGCGAATATTTATATTGCAGGGCGTGCTCCTACACACTTATTTGTATTGTATTTTTGGGGCCCGCTCGAACAAAGGGGTTCTGTCACCTGGGGCAACACGAAACAAAACAGGCGCTAAATAAAATCACTTTTGTGAAGCCGCCATTTGAGATTTAACCGGTTTCTTGGCGGCAACTCAAGGAAGTTGTCACCCGGATGACTCGAACCACCCCCACTAGCCCAGATTTTGGTTGCGAATCTACATTGCGTCACTATCTCACCTCCATTCATGATCGAAGTCAGCGGTCGCAGCAGTAAATTAAAAATGCGTCGCGGGTGTTTGACATCGGGCAAGGTCAGTGTCGTTGGCAGAAGCTGTATATATCCGAAATATCGGATTCGGAATCTAAATCGGAAATCTTAGCCGGCTAGCTGCGCAGTGTGCATATTAATTAATCAATTAATTAATTACTCAGTGCTCGATGCGTCCGAGTTGTCGAACCGAGTTGACCCCAAAACATGGCGAGAAGGCAGATCCGGAAGCCAATTGCGGAAGCAAATCAATTATTTATTGTTTTGACTCGTTATTATGAACGATAATACACACATTGCGATTTGGATGCGAATATCTCGACGATTTCCATTTGCTAAGGCATGATCAGTTGGTCAGAAATACAAACTCAATGTGCATTGTAATGAGGCAGGGAGGTGGAAGTCGGTGACTGGAGGCCTTAAATATCTTTTTAAGGGAGGGGATTTTTTTGAATTAACTTTTTCCAGGTATTTGTGCTTGAGCTGCCGCTTGAAAATCAATTAGATTGATGAGAGGCATTCTCAAGGTTGCCAAATGTATATCAGATGAGTGGGAAATCCCCACGCGAACCGATAATATCTTAAGCACTTAAGAGCACCCATCCAGGATGCTTTCGCAATCGATAATTCTCTATTAAGGCGGTACAACTTTATCAGGCTCAACGGAGATTGTCAATACGGGACAGCAACAGTAGTAAATGTTTTCCAAATTCTACGTCGATAAGAAATCGTAGTGTCAATATTGCAGCGTCTATAGAATAAGTACTTGACCCGCTTCAAAAGGGTTTCAGGTCTCGTTCATCGCAGAACCTTTTAGCTTATCGGACTATCAGCCTTCCAAGGCTTCCACATGTCGTATACGCAACGTGCAGTTGTCTTGCGTCAATAAAGAACCTTGTTAAACAATCCAACACGGCTCGTACATCATATTTTATCAGTACACTCAAAATAAAATTAACCCTAAAGTCAAGGAAATCGCCCTACTTTTGTCTTCAAGACAAGCTCGCCCTAAATTTTAGGGTCACATTTTTCTATATTTTTGATTTTTTTTGACGTCATATTTCTAAATTTTAGGGTTATTTTACTAAATTTAAGGGCAAAAATTTCTAAAAAGTAGGAAATTTTCCTAAAAAATAGAAATTAAAAACAAAACAAAAAAACATGTTCAATCATGATTTTTTTGTATATACGTTTATATTATGTACTCCTCCCTATATATGTACATATGCAGGCGTTGTGTGTCTTGTATATTGTGAATGTTAAAGGTTATGTATTTATTATTATGTATTTGCGCTTGGATTTCTTATCTAACCAAAGCCAAATGTTGTTGTAAATGTGGACTACGGGACTGCGGAAGATTGGAAATGTAGAAATTATGATTAGTTAATATTTTATCTTCATGAAAAAAACTTACATTTTTACTTGTCCGTCGGTGAGAATCGAACCCGGGTCTCCCGCGCGAGGAGCGAACGGCCTACATACTGGGCCATTGTAGCACTTAAATTTGCTGTGGCAAACCGAGCATTGTATGTAAAGGGTCAAGCGGAGAATACATTTGAATACTAATTGCATAATTTTGACCATTCGCGTTTTACTTATTTACATACATATATACATATGTATATATTTATGCTATCGCAATTTATTTTATGTGTTGTATATAGTAAATAGCTAAATATAAACCAAATTATTTTCGGTTTACCGCTTGCCATCAATAAAAAAAAGGAATAAAAAAGAGTAAAAAAACAAATTTAAAAAAAACTTAAAAAAAAAAACTTAAAAAAAAAGGTAAAAATTAGTTTGCTCTGGGACTCGAACCAGGGTCGATTCGATTTCTAACCAAGCGCTTTAACCGTCTGCGCTACGAGTACAGCCGCCCGGCAGCTGACAAGTTCTGGCATTGAACATTTTGGTGTGCCAGAGCATGTGAAAACAACTATTTCTATTTTTTAGAAAAACTTTCTACTTTTTAGAAAATGTTTCTATTATTTAGGGTTAGCTTAATTTTAGGGTTAGGGCACTCATTTTTAGAAAAAGTGTTGCCAAAATATTTTATTATTTTCGTTTGCCTTTCTATTTTTCAGAAAATTATTTCTAATTTTAAGGGCATTTTTCTAGATTTTAGGGTGATTTTAGTTCATGGTAACCATTTTCTACATTTAAGAAAAACTTCCTGGATTTAAGGAAAACTTTCTTGACTTAAGAACAATTTCCTAAGATTTAGAAATAACTTTCTTGTATTTAGAAAAAAGAAATTTTAATGGCGATTTTCTAAAATTTAGGGTTAAATTTATTTTGAGTGTAGTTACTCTGCAATTAAAGATACACTGTTTACTATCCATAGCCCTGGCGAACTCAATCCAATCAACTCCTTAGATATAATTATTGCTATTCCAGAACTCGGTTGTCTAACCGACAGTTAATTACGCCAATGGCCCTTAAACTGCGAACACATTTAATGCCCCCATAAATCAATGACGAATCACAATCCATTTGGCGCAACTCTATTTGAACTCGACAAATTTGGAATGCATATCACGTGAAAATGCATTTCGTTTACAGCACCTGCCACGCCACTAAAAATTTTCCACTGTCCCACTGACGCCACAAACTAACTAACCACACGGGCTAAGGCAAACAAAACCGATCGTTTTTTCATATTTTATGGTTAGACAACAAAACCAGCTAACAAGGGGAGCTGGCTACTTGAAACAAGTCAATCACTAAACTTCACATGGTCTGACTAAAAGAGAAGCGCCGACGGCAATACTAAGTAATTGTAGAAAATAGGGGGAATGGTGAAGGGGTCCAAAGAGCTCTGCGAAGTGTCGCACAAATTCTCGAGATGCAAGTGCCTATAGGCACACTGAAAAAATGTGTAAAGGGGATCAGAAATTTATATTTTAAATACACATATTTTTCCGTACTATTATACTTTATCTATATCTTTCTAATAATTTAAACGGGATGGTTTCTCATAATCGTGTTGCATAGAAAATGCTTCGAAATTGATCTGTTTTTCCTTTCTGCTATTTTTAGTTAACCAATAAGTTTTTACAATCCTTACATTAACTTCTGATACATGAATTGAGATATAAAACCATCCTAATAAAATTTAATTTGCTATTTATTGTAAGAATAAAATCACACAAAACAACCATAAACCTTTAAACGCTATTAGCTTCACAGCATTTTAAAACATTTTGTTTTGTGTAGGTGCAACGTCTTTCAACTGTATTAGATGATTGATAGTTGATTGATAGCTAAAGTTAGTAAGGTGGCAATGGCAGACAGAGTGTCTGTGGGGGATACAGGGTGATCTAATTATTATTTCCAAATATGCAGAAGCCAAATAAAAGAACTTGCCCCTGCTGTATGCCCCTAAAAGTAGGCCCAATCTCGCGGCTTGGGGATTTTCCTGAGAGAAATGCAATCAGATAAGCCAGATGTGTTCTTGATCCAAATCGACAAGGTAGCGACCACATTCCTCAGATAAGAGTCTTCCCTGACAACAATAGAGGGATTGAACTCCGGGCACCCGGTTATCCTCATGCTCCTCCGGTTCCTCGGCTACGCGGCGTATGAGTAATGGGACGCGGGCAGACTTGTCTGGCCGCCGAATGCCCAAAGCTGAGTGATCTGTAGAAAGCACCCATACGCACAATGGAGGTACATGGCATATGGCATATGTGCTCACCTGGACGACAGAGAGAGAGGCCGACTTCGCCCCTCCTGCGTCACGGTAACGTTTATTGTCCATTGCGCTAATTGCCCGAACCGAACCGACTTCGTCTCCGAGTTTCGGTGGGGAGTGGGAACACATATATCTGTGTGTCTGGCCGGGTTTATAGCCGCTCTGGCGACGCCGTCGCAGCAACAAATTAAAGCACAAACATTGGCTTAATATCAGTCACTAAGCGATCGTCCGACAGTTAACAACAAATCGCCAGCGGGGGCCGAAAAAAAAAATCGTAAAAATAAAACGTAAACCCTTCAAACAAAGCGCGCGCGAATTTCGTAAATCCTTGCAACACGGCAGGTGTGAAAAATTAAATAATTAAACAAATGATCACAAAAGCTAAAGAGTGTTGATAGCTTCTGCAAATTCTGGCCTTATAATCGCCCCACCGAGCATATCTGTCATTAACGCGTCTGTGTGAAAAAATCACTTTTCGGCGTCAATGTCGAGGACAAGCGATTGGATCAAACAATTAATATAATTTCTTTATAATTTCCACCAAAGTTCACACCAACTAAATCGGGCCAAAGGTAATTACTGTGCTTGGGCAATTATTTGTTTGTTTACATTGTGCTTTTCGTGTTTATCATCGCCTATTTTTTAAGTGCCCTAATTATTTATAATTAATTCCCGCACATCAAATGAGTTATCAGGCATATTTATCAGATGCATGTGACACAAAAAATTGCCCTAAACTTGGAAATCTTCGATCCCGGCCCCT